CTTTCCCCCTTTTTGTCCCCCCCCCCCCCTCGTCATCTACCTACCTACCAGAGACAGTGAGACCCTGTGGGGCAGCACAGAGTCATTATCAGCCTGAAGCAGCTCACAACAAAACTGGAGTCCATCCGTCTCAATCCCTGGCCATTTTGCAGCTTTATGTGGCAAATGAGAGCAGCAGGGCTTAATATAGAGATGAGGAATGACTCTGATGAAGGTCAGGGATCAGAAAAACCCACTTTGAACAAGCCCTGGAGTGTGAAGCTGCCACAACAGCCTGAGGCCAAGCGACAGATCACATCAGGTGATTTATAGACGATTGTAGGGACCAGCATTTATTACGCAACGTCTGTGACTCCACACACATGACCAGCTAACGGCGGCGTGTTTACAGGAGCGGTGGACAGTTCCTGGAGTATTGTAGCTACATCCTGAGCAGCGGATCACTGATTAAATTCCCAACAAGCTGATTATGAGGCCCAGAGAGAAGGATGTTATGGATCATAACACATGACAGCTGTATGTCCCCTGCAGTAATTGAACCAGGGACGGGGTTTATGTTGTACAGCAGCACGAGGCACAGGAAGGATCGCCCTCCGCCATATCCTGTAGCTGTGAAACCAGACTCAAATTTCAAAGAAATGAAAGATGTAAAATATGAAAAACAGAAATCTTAATGTGCAACCAAATTCAACCTTCACAATCTGTAAATCCAATCTGATTTTCACCATCTCATCATGTATTATTATTTTTGTTTACTAAATGCAGGGACTTTTTAATTTGATCTGCATTTTCATTGTGCTGGATCCACCGAGAACCTGCAGAAACAGCTCAAAAAAAACGACAGTTAAATAAAAAAAAATAAAAAAAATTTAAATTCAAATGAAGGTTGGTCAGTTCCAGAATCTGCTGAAGATGATTCTGTTTGGACTCGATCCTCATGGAATTCCACATTTGATCAGAACATCATTTTTCCAGACAATTCCGTAGTTTCATCCCATCGTATTAAACTTAATGTTAAAGAATAACAGCAGGGATCACTTCTACTATCACCGTCTGTGGAAAGCATCTCTATGCAGTACCACAAGTTGCCACTGGAGTAAATCGGTCAGACAAAGAAAACCCCTTCTTTTTCCACATCTGTCTGTTTGTTTAAAAAGCGGGAGTTTAAAGCGAACTTTTCTGTTCGTCTGTGTTTGTCTAAGGGAGGACTGACGGAGTCACATTATGTCGATAGATGGACACAACGTATTAACCTTTCAATATTGACCAACTGGAGAAATTAAAAAAAAAAAAAAAACCTTTGAGGGTTTACTCTGCCTCCCTGTGATTTCACACTCAACGGCTGGCAATCTACCTGACTGAACTGTGGATGAACTGTGGATGAACTCTGGCTGCGCTCCAGCCAGAGGCGATCGGCTTCACAACCTGCATCCTGTGGAGCCGGGATTTAATCAGAACTTACCTAAAACAGAACGCTTATTTTGACTGAGAATAGAACCCGGGAATAGAACAGGTCATGAAGTTAAACTGACAATGTAAAGCCTGGTCTTAACTAAAGGATTCATGTAAAAAAAAAGTTAGAAGTTAGATCCATAATGATATAATACTGACTCACCGTCCTCATCCCCCGGTTCTGAGAGGAAATGACCATAAATGGACTTTGTGACCTTCCCCAGGGAGTTGCTGGCCTCCAAAGTGTAATTGCCGTTGTTGATGTGTGTTGGATTCTGAAAGATCAGGCAGCCCTCCAGGTAGTCCTGGTAGAATTCCATCTCGGTCCGGATGTAGTCGTTCTCAACGATCTCCTTCTTCTTGAAGAACCATTTCAGTTTGGGGTGAGGGTAGCCTCGCACTGTGAACTCGATGCAGGAGTGGAGACGCTGCTCCGGCTCGGCCAGTCTCAGGATGACTGGTGGAACTGCACGAAAAAGGAGGGGGAAAAAAATTATTAAAAGAGCAGAGACTCTATGAATTTAAAAAAAGATAAAAAAAACAAAACTAAATCCTGTTTCCTATGAAACAGACTTTTCTCTCCCTTTTGTTGCTGCTAGAAAAAAGCTGAAGAGTTTTTTTTTTTATTGTAGAGAAGTTGTACCACGGACACTGAGGCTGGTGATAATTTAAGCTAAAACATCAAAGAAACAGTAACAGACATAAACGCTGAGCTGTTTGGATTTTGTTCTTGGACGTTTTATATTCAGGGAGTTGGATTTCCTGGCTGGAAGTACTGTAGTAATGGACAGTTTTACTGTGTAGTACCTGTTGCCGTAGTACACAGAACAAAAGATAAAAAAAACCACAAACACACACAGCAGAGAAACTGCTGACTGACGGTGTTTGAACCTGCTCACTTCAATTAACATATTTATATAAATATTGATTTTTGTTTGGCTCCTTTAATTTATTATTAATGAAATGATGAAACTGAAAAAAAAACAAAGCGTTTCCCGACATCGCAGGTCCAATTAACCTGATTGTGTTTCAGAAACGTGTGAAGTGAAATAAAGTGTGACGAATGGAATTAAATATGGAGTTGATTTGTGGGTAGAAAAGATAAAGCCGACTGTCAAACACGTCGGCGGCCATTACCCTCGTCACTGCGTCTGTGTCAACTAATATTCATGTTTTCACACCAAACACTTATCAGACATGGGCATGAAATATTCAACCATCTCTGTTTGAAAACTGTCAGTTCATAAATTGCTCTGTGGATATTGTTCCTGACAGACAGTAGTTACAGTGAAGTAATTCAACGGAACTAAAGGCCTAACCATGTGTCTGTGTCAACACGACGGTGCGGGGGTGTTTGGAGGACGGAGGAAAAAAAAGTAAAGAAAAAAGAAAGATGTAACGGTGGTTACAGCGGTGCAGCCTGAAGACAAAGAAAAGAAGAAAAGGAGAGAAGAAGAAGAAGAAGACGACAGAGTCTCTTATTGACGGACAGTGAGAGAATGATCCATTTTCCTCTTAGTGAGCCTGTCACCCAGTCTGAGCCGATACAAAAGAAGTCATTACGGCGGTCGACGCTGGTCTATAACAACACGGTCACGGCGATCATACAGATGACAAGTCTTGATAACTACATGACTGTGATCACTGCTGCAGTCTGTTCCTGACGTGTCGGGCAGTGAGAGAGCAGCAGCAACTAGTCCCTGGGGCAGTGAGAGAGCAGCAGCAACTAGTCCACACCTGGTTCTTCTGGGATAACTAGTCCTAGTTAATCTTCCAACATGCAGTGAGCATCAGCAGTGACTGGGATTTTTGTATATTAGCTATAATTGATAGCGATGCCTTACCCCTCAATTAGCCCTAACCAGGTGCTAGTTAGTGTCAGGTTTGTGGGGTTCATTACACTGCAGGTAGAACGGCGCCGACGTCCACGGAGCCTCAGAGCAGCCATTGTTCCAGTCGGCGTCAGAACAATGGCTCTGCAGAATTTGCATTGTGTCTAAATTACAGTTTCGCTAAAACGGAAAAAAATCTTGTCTGAATGCACAGAGCGACACTTGACGGATGGCAATTTGGGTGTCAATCAGATTAGTCCCCTAATCAGAGCGGCGGTTGCAGCTATTTTATGACATTTCCACAGACAAAGGCCTGCGCAGAGGGGGGAAATGTAATTAGCATCAAAGCATGTGTTGAAAAATTAATAAGTCAATTTGCAACACCAGCAGAGAGCGTCAACAGGAAGAAGAAGAAGAAGAAAAAAACGCCGGTGATGTACATCGATAGTGTCCGGGTGGAGGAAGCCCCGAAGGCCTGACGTAGCAGAGGCTATCTATCACTCCAGCGTCATCTTCAGCAGCAGCACGACTGCAGGAGGGCGTGTTGGAAATGGTGACAAATCTTCCTTCTCCCGACTCATTGCAAACAGAGTCAATAGATTGTGTGTCACAAAAAGAAGCTTCCAAAAAAAAAAAAAAAGAGAGAATAATGTGTGTCATCTTTGATAAATATCGGCTTTGAATACGACGCGTCCCGTTATCGGCTCGCTCCCCTCAGGGTAAACTGATGTTACAGTATGACATGAAATTCATGGCCCTGGGCTTCAGAGGAGACGTCGGTGTCACATGATCACCGGGTCATCGTCACTTTGTTTTAAATGTTGTGTTTTAGCTCTGAGTACCGCCGAGGTTTCAAGAGGACCAAGAGGTCATTAGTTAATTAATGGAAAAATATAAACACAAATGAAATGCTAATTTGTCCATAGTTGACTGACAGTTGTTTACAAGTTTATCCCAATTTTCTCATTTTTGAAGATTTGTTTTTAACAACCCAAACTAGGTCAAATACTGAGTCAAATACTTAACTCTTCAACCTCAGCGGTTTTTATTTTAAGCATGTTTGATGTGCAGTATTTGATGAGAACTTTTTTCTATGTTCACACTGATGGTTTAACATGAGCAGTAAATGTTGACAGGACCAACTGATGTAAGGTTGTTATTGGATTCACAACAGCCAACATCATTTTTTGGTTTCATCGTTGAGCGGCTATCACGCCTGCTTACACATCTGCTTTACACACAGAAGGTCGCAGGTTCGAGCCCCAGAGGAACCACATATTTAATGACGCCTCCTGTTGGGCAGCCTGTTGCAGCAGATCTGCTCAACCAAGTGTGGGATCAATGAAGTTTTTTTTTTTTTTATTTCAATTTCATATATTTCATATTTTGCATTAAATAATAAGAGAGAATCTAAAAAGAATTAAATTGTTAAGTGTCTTTGACAATAGAATTAGAATCTGTTTATTATCATCATCTCATTCCCACATGTTCGTCCAACGCATGATTGATTTTTGCCCCTTAATCTTTAGATCAAACCACAGGAGATAAGTACTTCAATCAAGGGTAAAAAAAAAAAAACGTATTTAAATTATAAACTTTATTAAGTTAAATTCTTTCCTAATAGACAGCAGCAGCAGATTCTCCTGGTTAGTAACTCTGAAAAAATGTACTTGATGAAAGAGATTTATTTATTTTAAAATATTCGGCCAGACTTTTTGCAGCATTGAAAGTTTTCTTTTGACGAACATGAATGTTAAGTGTCTTCACCCTCGTCTAGCTGCAAAAGGTTCTGCGGTAAAAGATATTATTTCTTATATTGTGCAGTTGACTTGTCTCCACGCACGTCGTCAAAGCTGCAAAAATGGCCTCAATGAAGGTGCAGGAATTTTAGCTAAACACGCAGCAAATATTTGAATTATGAAACGTTGGACTGTCATGTCTTTTTTTTAAATGTTTTTACTTCATCGTTGTCAGACTGACTTTGGGGAAATAATATAAAGAAATTGCTTGATATAAGTTGTGAAAAAAAAACATGTAATTGTGCAACAACAGAATAAACATTTCCATAAACCGGTAAAAAAAGTGACTTTTTTTTCCTCGACCAAAACATTTGGCCATAAAAATCCTCATTTATTTAGGTGATATACGTCTGCAAATGAAAGTGATAGCCTGTAATTGAAGTGTTCTAACTGATTACCTGCTCAATTAACAGGTCCGGGCTCTTTAACAGAACTGTCTATACTATCTATAAAGTCAATCTGTGAAGTGGTGAAAAACAAAGCACAGGCAGACAATTGCCTATTGGGATTTTGAGCCGATCAAGGAAGTTACGGCTGCGCCGTGATGCTGACATTTTCGCTATTTAGTAAAATGTGCCGATGACCTTTGGAGCAGGTGAATATAATCATGTTTCCTCATTTGAACAGCAATAGCCTCGTGTCACTTCCTGGTATTTGACGAGAATGGCTTAGCAAATTGGACAATTGAACAGATGTGAAGCCGGCGTCATGAGGTCGTTGTACTCAGTCCCACATGACGCCGGCAGCAAAGTGTGAAGAACAAAGGACTATTTTTGACTACTTTGATTATCATCAAAACAGGTGTGCTACAGTAGTATAAACCAGTGATCATCACTGAACTGGCAGCCCGCAGGCTGAGTCTGGCCCGCCAAACCGTCCAAACTGGTCCTCTGACCCTTGGTTTAAACATTTCTTCTTTTTTAACAGTATGAAACCCCGGTACAATCCATGTATCTTTAGGAAAGTCATCAGGTAACCTGGAGAACTGAGACTGTCCAGAGCATCAAACACTTATCAACCGTGTGACTGAGACGGTTGGAGCAGATGGAAACGTCCGACTTACACTGTACGTTGAGCTGGATGGAGGAGTTGGTCATCCCCACCACGTTCTCCGCGATACAGGTCAGCTGGAAGTTGTTGTCGTCCCGGCTGATGTTGAACAGAGTCAGGTTGATGGAGTGGATGTTGGGCCAGTACACGTTGGACTGGGGTGGGAGACAAGCAGAGAACAGGTTGATGATATTAAACTCCTGAAAAAAAGGTCCGGTGTAGGTTTTAAATCTTTAATTGTTTAATTAAACCTTTAAGAAAGTTAAGGTTCACACGGCTCCACGTGTCCGTCTAATGATCCAGAATCGCAGCAAAACATTAATAGAAACATCCAGCTCACGTTTCCACCCGTGCCTCCAACCCGGGCTTGTTCCTCTGCTCCTCACTTATCCCTGTCATCTACCGCGGATGTCAACATGAAAACATGGGGCCTGAGGCGGAGGTAACTGTCACCGCTGGAGTCAGTGCGAGCATTAAAGACACAGTCGACAAATACAGCAACAATGCTATTTCAGCTGCTACTGTTCCCTTTGTGCCGTTCCCTGGTTCATGGTTATTGCCGTGACATCCCCGGGGCCCGACTGGAGCGGGTGATTAGTGGGTGCGCTCACTCTCACCGAGGCAGGCTGAATGTGGACCAGTAAGCTTAGCTTAGCTTAGCTGTTGATGATTGGCTTTGCTTCTTTCTTGTTTGTCTTTCAAATTTCATATTTTTTGCCAACCAAATAAATAGGAGTCGGGCTAATTTGGAGGCTAACAGTAAAAGGTAAAGTAAAAAGAAATCCCTTTAAATCCCTGAATGTAATTTAACACATGGACAATTTGTCTTGTTTGAATGTTTGAAGGCTGAAGTCATGACAATTAAATCCTTTAGGCTTTTCATATTGAATAAATTGCATGTCACGTGTCATGTGACCTTGAATTAGACAAGAGAGTTCTAAATTAGAGGACTCATCTGTGAACCTCTGATCCAATTTTATGAAATTTCGCAAAATAGAGGCAATGAATTGAATTGGAATTAAAAGAAAACATCACATATTTATCTACATATATATACACATATATATATTTATTTATATATATTTATATATAAATATATATATATATATTACATGGAATTCTATATATATATACATATATATATTACATGGAATTTATTATAATGACATCTAAAAATCTTTTTTTTTTTTTTTAAATCATTTTTTGTAAACACAGCCTCAGCCTGCGGTCACTGCCTGCAACTAATAGAGACGGCTCCCTATGGCGCTGTCCATGGTGCTGATTAACGTTTCCCCTTAGAGTGAACTTGGGAAATATTTTTAACCAGCCTTACCTGAGTCATAAGAGGTCAACGCAAGATTCTGGAGTCACAGTTTCTTTCAGGACTTTACTTAAACCAATAATTCTCCAATAACAAGAATAGGAACATTTTTGTTTGTGTGTTTGTTTGTGTGTTTGTTTGTGTGTTTGTGTGTGTCTAACCAGGTGTGTGTTGATGGAGTGCAGGCCACTGACGGTCCAGTCCACCTCAGGTAGTGGAGATCCAGATCCATTGCAGCTCACGGTCACGTTGTCTCCCTCCATCACCAACACGCTGCTGTGGCTCACGCTGATCTCTGGTTGGTCTGAAACCACACACAGTCAGGACGGACGTTAACAGCCGTCTGTGGCTGTCTGTAAATATCCACACACTGATTGTGATGCCTTTTTATAGAAGCCATTAACTGAGAACAGACACAGGTGCGCAGACACACACGTACACACACACGTGTACATTAAATGTCACAGGGATGAGTCACAAACAGGAGATATTGTAAAGCCTCGTCAGAATCATCACACAGAGCCTTACATCAGAGTCACCTCTGAACTCTGTCACGCCTCCTTTCTTCCTGTTTTCAACTCAATCCCCCGTCTCTCCGTCACCTTTAACTCCCCCCCTCCCTCTGTCTGCCTTCCCCGTCATCGTCTGACCCCCATTCTCAACTTCACCTTTCACTATCTCACCACTCCTTCTTCTTCTTTTATGACACTCCAACCCACAGGATTTTTTTTTTTTTGGGCTTCTTTATTGTTCTCTCTCTCTCTTTCTCTCTCTCTCTCTCTTATTGAACGTTGATAAATCAAAGTCCTGTGTCCTCACCGCAGTTGCTGATGTACATGTTGTGCAGACGCATCTTGGACGCTCCGTTCCTGCAGTACAGCTGCTGTGTGTGGAGCCCGGCCTCGCCTCTCTGCTGCCACAGCTGGACCCAGCGGATATCGCAACCGCAGTCAAACACCACGCCTTCCAGATGCCTGAACATCGAGAAAGAATAACGGAGCAGAGGAGTTAGCAAACAAAATCATTTAATGTTAACATAAAACAGTCATAACTAAATGTCAACATGTTTTACTCCATATACACAGAGGGTTTTGTAGATTATTGGTGATTAATCATGATTAATTGAGATGAATCTACCTCACTATTATTACCAGATTTTTAATATTGCTGGAAGAGAAAGACAAATCTCGTTTCAAATATATTTGTTTCACACCTGATTTATTTGTAGATAATACAAATTAATGATGGAATTATTAACACGGGAAATGTAGAAACAAAACATTCAGCTCCTAATTTTAATAGTGTCTGGTCGAGTGCGTCGGGTGTTGATTTGAAAACGTTGGTGAAGACCTCGTCCTCAACGATATCGACGGCTTTACCGTCCTTCACCATCCATTTGACTCGTGTCAGTCGGCCTGTCACCCACAGACCTGCCCTGTCAGGGGCTCGTCTGTCAATATCCAGGCATCTGATCAATCACCGGACACACAGTGGACATCATTCTGTGTACGCCTTAAAAAACACTCACTATTTTATCTGATTTATTTTTTACAAATTCATCTTCACAGCAGTGCCTTCTTCTGACGCAGTTATCACTGCGATCCCTCGGAGGGAGAAAAACACCGGTTCAAGCCAGTTCTTCAACAACAAGACGTATTTGTCTGCCATGTGAACAGCCCTAACATCATCAACAAAGACATCATTATTTGAGAGTGCACTCCACCGAGGGCGAAACCCATGGTAATAATTCCGAGCCTTTGGTTCCAATTTTCCTTAGCATCACAACAATTATATATCAATTTAATGTTTCACAATATCCCACGCACAAAAGCCTCTGGAGCCACGCAATTTTAGGTAACATTATCCTGCAGATGGAGTATTACTCCCAGGGAGCCGTACTCCAGCTGTAACTGATGGTGCCGGGGTGTTGTAGTTAAGAGCTGCTTCAGTTCAGCTGTGATGAATAGACGTCTGAGCCCGAGCCTGTTGAATCCCTGACACACAGCTGAGCCGCTTGAACACAACATGTCGTTAATATCCCACACCAAGAGTTCTCCTCATGCTACGCACATACAGTAGTGTATATGAAAGGCTCGACACCCAGACACAACCATTAAACTCTAATACGCAGAAAAACGATAATCATGAAGGATTGAACTGATCCTAAACAGACACTGTACGTTTGATGACAGTTTTTATAGATGAAACCACCAGTTTTTTTGAGTGAAAATCTGCCTCAAGCGTTCTGTTTTTTAAAATGTTATGTTCAAAATTTGAATTTTTTTTGTTTGTTTTTTTATGTGTCAGGCTTTACAGCGTTAAAGATTCTTTGTTTTTATTGAGTCCAGTGAAATTAACAACTCCGTTCAGTCAGAGTATGGACCGCATCACCTTCAATTCCAGTTCATCCTTTAAGGCATGAAGACGAACCACGTGTTCACTGATTCTTCACTGACCGAGATACCATCAATATTTCACATTATTTTTCCTGTTATTCTCTCATACCATATTCTGAAGAATTCCCACTGAAGGAAGAAAAAAAAACAAACACCTAATTCATACATTTTGCATATCCTGTAGCAGCCAGCGTGTGGCATACTCACAGGAAACCCTTTCAACAATCTCCGGAGGTAAACCGAGCTTTAGCTAGCTGCTCCTTAAAACTGTGCACAAACTGTAACCTTCAGCATCAGACACAGGGGGAGGACGGGGGTGTGGGGGGTGGGGTGGGGGCATCTTCAGCTGCAAGTCTAGCGATCCTGACAAGAATCCAAAGCTAATTAACAATAGTCTTTACTGAATCAATAACAAAGTAATTAACACTGTCAATAACCCAAATCTGCTGTTGATTACACAGTGACTGCTCCGTGTGGCCAACACCGGAACTCCACTGTGCATCTTTTTTTGTTTTTTTTATGAGAGAAGAGACAAAAGGAGGAGGAAAAATGATTGTCTCCAGCGCAGCATTCGAATGTGAGGAGGTCAAAGGGGAAGGCGGTGTTCTGGCTATCAGTCTTTGCCCCCCCCCTCTACCCCTCCACCCCCTCCACCATCTCCCAGCAGGTATCATTAGGCTCCTCTGTGCATACATTTTACTTTCACAATGGCACGCACAACAAAGTCCCATTGTTCATCCTGGTACGTCACCCCTGTGTTTTGCATATGTCCAATTTGGAGGCGGTGATTGACCAATTTGGTCAAAATGAATGCCTGTCCAAATGTCCTTGGCAGAGGTCAATGGGATATTGCAGAAGGCATGAATAATGCATGAGCCTCATCCGCACCGCTGTATGGCGTAATGAGAATAGATTCCCGCAGGTGGTACTCACTTATTATCAGGTGCTTCTTGGTTCTGATACCGTAGTTAGAGAAGAGCCTTTTCACATTCACTATTGTGACGAGTCAGTCACCGAGCGAAGTCCTGCTGCAGCAGCAGAGGAGCCAAACCCTCACAATTTATTATCCACTTATTACCTCTTCAATTACTGCAGGGAATTTTAATAACTTAACACTAATGATTACTCGCCTCTATTTAAAGTCCATAGCTTGTTGTTTAAAGTCAATTTCGGCACGCAATTCTGCTATATCTCCTTAAGCGGCGGTCTGCAACCCCGGTCTGCACCCCGTGGCTCCAGGGCCTCTATGCAGCCTGTTTACATCGGCTGCTTCAGATCAATTTTGATGTTTGTGAGTGGAACGAACTCAGCCTGGCTGTGGTTTTTCACGTTGAAATAACCAGTTTATTTTGAAGATACCAATGCATCTTTAACTGCTGTGGATATTTACACTGAGAAAAAAAAATTTAATGTCACACTTCATTTTTAGCTTCCATGCTAACAGTCATACAACATAGGGTCACTGTCTTCCTTAAACGTAAAATCAGGTGTGACGTTTTTTGGAGCCTCTAATGTTTAGTTTATGTCAAAGTGGAGCCTCTAATGTTTAGTTTATGTCAAAATGATAAAAAAATATGTCACACTTCATTTTTAGCTTCCATGCTAACAGTCATACAACATAGGGTCACTGTCTTCCTTAAACGTAAAATCAGGTGTGACGTTTTTTGGAGCCTCTAATGTTTAGTTTATGTCAAAATGATAAAAAAAAAAACAGTAATAAATCTGAAGCTATTGTTTTGATTGTTGTCCACGCGACACTGCCTGTACCTCCGATGACATCACTCTGTAATCCCATCGTCATCTCAGTGACAAATGTAACGACGTTTCTCACGCGTGTTCCAATCAATCAAGTTTTAAACAGTGGTCTTCGCTGTGACCGTGACATTTAATTCCCATTCAGAGGTTTTAATCGTCCGGGCTGAAGAAATATGAACGCACTCTTCTAGAAGTCCTTGGGATAATGCATTCACGAAAACACAGTCACACTGCTAGCATGCTAGGTTAACACGTTGTTTCACCTTTGTTAGGTTTTGCCTGTGAGATCATGTGTTTTTTTATTATTATTTTTATTGTAATTTTACAACTAAAAAATAATTGCTTTCCTGTCTGAGCGTTTCTTCATTTAAATGGAACATTTACTGCAGGAAAACATCCTGTTCTCTGTTTTCCTGATAATTAATTCCCTACAACCGGGGCCGTATATTTCTTCCGAGTAAACATCTTAGAAAATATTAGGAAATCATAAACCTGAAAAACAAGGCTTTATGACTTGATGGCCCAACATGAATGTCTAATCGACATGATAAAATGCTGACGAGAAAATAATGAATCTCGTTACTTTACTCACATTCCTATAATTATACTGACATCGTCCTGATTTGATGCCGGGCCACGTGAGCTCCTGCGTCTGCTCCGAGTCGAAATTCACGATAAAGAAGAAAAATAAATAAATAAACAATAAAAATACCTGAGGAGATTTCACCGTTAGAACCGAGCTTCCTGTAGAACAGGCCAGACAGAAGGAACGGATCGAGGTTTTCATTTATTAAAAGTGGAGTCAAGGTTGCCAGGTCTGTTTAGTTTAAGTGACTTTGAATTTGTTTTTGTTTTTTTCTGGACAAATTACCTTCAGACTAATAATCTTAACACACACACACACGGCCTGTGATTGTTGGGGCAGGTTTAGAAAGTGTGGCCCATTTTGAGACACTTCTGTTGTTGTCACGTCCACCAACCTATAATCCCTAGTTTGTTTGGTTTTAGCCTCTGTCAACACTTGAGGCTGCAAGTGGAAATTTATGTGAACTTTTTCGCATTAAAAAAAGTCAAAACATCTCACCTGAGTGAATAATGTGTGCTAGAAATCCAAGAATCCAAGAAAAATGTATCATTACTGTACATAGGAAAATACCTCAAAACAGGAAGAAAAACCATATAAAAAACTAAAACACAAATATGTTAAAAAATATATTTTAAAATAAATGATTAGAGAGGATGAGTTGTGACACAGTATATAGATTTTTTTTCATATATTGTCGATGGTTATGGCTCATAATTATCTAGTACTTTCTTGAAGGTCAAACTTTTTTTTTTTTTTTTTTTGCATGAACTGTGACCAGAGCTTGTTGTTAGTTTTGGGCTTGTTTTTGTAAACATAGTTTCTCCAGCATGATTCAGCAACACCGGTCGCTGTGGTGCGCCGTCTGGTCCTGACATGACCCGAGGAAATTGGTTATTGGAGAAAATCACATGGAAGAATCAAAATCACCATCAAAAAGGTGCCGAAAAACAGTTTTACTTTAAAAAAGATTCATTTAAGGAAGCTTCACCATCAAAAAGGTGCCGAAAAACAGGAGATTCATTCAAGGAAGCTAAAAAAACCCACTGCAGGTCAAACCAGGGTTTGATGTCAGAGCATACGTGACTCTACGTTTCCTCAACGTAAATGAGCATTATGACAAAGGCAGAAAAAGGAGCCTGGAAGAGACAGCTGGAGGTTGATAAATGTGTGGAGACGAGCAGATTAGACTTAGAAAAGAACAAAAGCAAACAGCAGCCTAACCCCCAGATGGAGAGAG